AGGCATTTTTTTTATTCTCCCAAAAAAAAATTGTTTAAATGACACAACATGGCTAGCTAATATTTGATATATCTTTCATTATGGCTGATACTGTGTATGCAACACTACAGGTTATACCAGTTTGGGTCTTCAGTCTAAACGGAGCTTCGACGGCTGCTACGTTGCACAAGGAATTGAGACCTTCGGTCGCTATGACGTCACTCAGATATGGTAAGTAATCATCTGTTAAACTAGGATAGTGTGTGACGTACGAATTAATGGCTTAGAGATATTTGATACCACCGTTAAAAAGGCAAGAAAACTTTTGTGCGGAGATGTTCATTCCTCAGTCTTAATCTCCATGTTGCAACCAACAATAAAATATTTTGTGTGTAAGGCTATAAATTCGAAAAAAGTATTCCTAGCGAAACGCAGCTGCGCAGCCGCTTTGCTGGCTTTTAAAGTTCTATTTGCGGCTTACATCTTGCACAAACGATTACGATCATAGCAACGTAGTGTCAGCAGAAAATGTTGCAGCGGCGTGCTCATTGACATTCTATGTAGGGATCATCACGGCATTATAATTACGTGACCAATCACTTTTTCCCAAACGCCTTTTTCCCATCCACGGATTCGTCAAAAATACCTTCAAGCTGAACCGCCCCAGCCTGAACACTTATGCCGTCCAAAGTTAAAAAGACTTAGTAGAAGAAAAGACACTGTGCTAATCTACCTACCAGTCCAGCTCAGCACAACTACAGTCATGGCTACCATGTACAGTAACACGCCGCCACCTTCGCGACTACCGTTTTCTTCACACACACATTATACGTCGAAAGCTGACGCCGCAGCGCAAATTCAGATGCAGAATTTTAGATATGGAGGCTTCGTTTTGGAAAATCAAACGGAGATTTCATCGCCGCCTTCCATAGCGCCGCCGGGAGCTACGATCGGCATATTGAGCAAGCAGCATATATACGCCGAATCCAATACGATTCAACTGTCATCACCTGTCTACCGTAGCCAGCAGAATGTGTCGACTGCTATGTACATGCAGTCTATGATGACCAAGATGTACCAGCCGCAACATCCCCATCCACCCCTGATGGACTCAACCCAGCAGATAGAGGTGTTGCATGTATCACCTGGCGTGCCGACGCCGGTAGAGTTGTCTATTTATGAGAACAAGCAGCCCACAGGATTCTTACATGTGACTATCGGCAATCAGACAGTTGAGTTTCTCGACGGGGTTGCTAATATGCCGCAAAAGCGGTAAGCTTTCTACCATAAGTCTAGACGTGACAGCATTTCGCGACCGAAAGATGGCTGTGACGCCTCCTCTTTCTCGTATGCGAGCATTGCTTCAAGGAGGCTATCGCCTATTAATCAATAGCTGCTGTTTTTAGTCTGCTGTGCCGCAAACAAGTGGAGGAGTGCTATAGAATTTTACTCGTCCGTTTTATTGTGGAGAATTGCGTCAAGTTCAAAGCTAGTTAGCCCGAGGCAGCCAGCTTTCTTGTATGTACTTTATCACGAGCCCAAGCATCGCTGTTGTCAGCGTCTGTAATTCTTCATTTTCTTTCTCGTCCATATTTTTGATTTTAATGCAAATGATCTGTTTTGCCTTTTTACTATCTGCATTCATACTGATGAAGTGTCTTGGTCGCTGATCTTACAATGCTCGATTTGAAGTCATGACTGGGACGGCGGTAGAAGGATCCCCTGCGCTTTTAGGCGGCTAGCAATAGACCCACAATCGGATACGAGAGTACCTACTTTAGCATCGGATTCGAGAATAAGAATCCCATCGCTCTCGTCTGCTAATCCAAGCTCTGCCTTCGAACATATCATGCCGAGCGAGAATTCCCCACGCAACTTCGACTTTTTGATTTTGACATTCTTCCTGCACACACAATGTAAATAAGCAGTAGCATCATTCTAATTGGCCAACGTACAGCTGACCAGAGGGACCCTTAATGGCTAATCGGGTTCCGACTTTAGCCACGGGAACTAAAGCGCCTTGACGGACATTCGAGGCACCGCAAATAATCGGCAGTAAGTTGTTTTTGTCGCCAACGTTGACATTGCAGATTTTCAGACGATCTGCGTGAGGGTGCGTACAAAAGTTCACAATCTCGCCGACCACCAGCGTGTGCCACGTTGTTTCCTCTTTCTTTTGCACTGTAGCTACGGGTGTTACTTCAGCAGCCGCATTTGTAGATAAATTTCGAGCTGTTAAATGCTTGAAGATACCATAGACGAGCGAACGACAAGGATGTGTGTGGAATTGAGTTGAAAGGAGCATCTTTAGACGATTTGAGCAAATTAACAAGCTTAAATGTTAAAAGTTATTATTGAGTAATAAGACACAACGTAACCAGCAGTAACCCTGAAGGGTAAGACCCAAAGCTTTTAGGCACGCGCAAAAGTTCGGCCTGTGATAGTCTTCTTTTGAATTTTGGACTGATCCTTTTCGGGACGAGCACGGTTTAATACTGAATGACAGAGTATTCGTTAGATAGACCTTAGCATGCTCATAATTATAACGTACCTTGCAGCAGCAAATCAACACGCTTCCGCATACGGATGTGCAAGTACGTCTTAGAAGCCTTGATGTGGTAGTGAAGGTAGTTACGTAGCCCCTGTACAAGAGTTGCCGCCTTGATTCGCTTCTCGGTAGTGTCCACGTGGGTGGGAAAGATGGCAAGACTCAAATAACCCACCAGGTCCGGCGAGTTGCGAAGACCCGGTGCTCCACGCAACTCAAGCGGAGGATCCTTACCAAATGCCACGGGTGGAGCATTGTTTACCGTGCGTCGAGTGTCAACGAATTCCTTATTATAAGCACAGGATTATCAAGCATGTCGCGTCAGTGCACTGTCTGAAACCCTGCGGCACTAAACCACACTTTTAATCAGAAGCAAACCTGGAGGAAGACTCGAGCAATTGCCTGGTCGGTCTTGTCCTCAAAGCAGACTGAATAGACAATGACGATACGGTCTGCCTGAGGGAGAACGTAAACGGTCTCGTTACGGCGGTACGGAATCTGCACAGGGCCTAGAGTGCTTGCATTGCCATTTTGAAGTGCTTCAAAACATTGTTCATATGGGGCTCCCAAAATGTTGCGTTTTAGGACCGCAATACGCCCAATGAAGGATGCTGCAGTTGACAAAGAACTCATCAGCTACTAAGCCACCATTGATCATACAGGAAAGCTATAGGAACCAGCATTCGTCGGGGTAATCAGGTCTACGTTAACTTGTAACGAGAAATCAAAGCCAGTCTTTGGAGCGATGAGCTGAAACTCAGGATACGTTACGGCGAACATTTGCTGGGCACCCAATCTAATTACCCACGAAAACGTCTATGAACCAAAGTTTCCTTTTTGTGATAACGATACAAACGCACCCTTCGAGCGTCTTGTACGGAGGATATGCCATTGAGATTGTTAAGAGGTTGTCCACGATCGATATGTCATACTGCACATCTGCATTAAAGCGGCAAAAAATCAGACCCTTTATCATGATTTCTGCATCTAGCGCGTCATCAAAACTCACCGTCAAAGTCGCACAATCGGATTTCTAATGGCTTTACGGGCCGAGAGGCTCTGCACATTTTCGACGTCAGCACATAATTAATTCAGAATTGGGGATGGTAAACGCAGCAAAGCATAGACCCCGGCTCAAAAGCTTACTTCTCCCCAAGTCGTTTCTCGAGGACCTCCTTTATAATCTTGTTCTCCGAGTCAAGGAACAACATTGCGCGTAGTCAGAGGAAGAATGCTGACACTCCTGTTTTGACGACAGGTATATGTACCGTACTCACTTTTTACAAATTAAGAATGCAGCTCTTTTAACCAATCCGACGTCGTGTTATCACCAATGTCAACGCGTCCGCCGCTGCCGTCCTCCGCTTCGTCCATGAATCCATTAGATGGCCCAGGAGAGCTCAATTATGGTGTCTATGGCCGCGTCCTTTTCTATGGACAGCTCGAAAAACGTCGTGATGGAGCTGTGCGCGGTGGTTGGGCCTCACGTCTCTTCGTCCTCACGCCAGAGAGTCTACATTACTACCGCAAAGCCACGGAGTTTGAGCTGCTGGGAGAAGAACGAGGACTTGTACGTAGTGCTATTCTTTTCGAGCAGCATAAGATCCTTTTAATATGCTGCTGCATTTTTAATAGGTCCCGTTGTCCTCGATTACGAGGGTGCGTGCCATGCCGGAGGATGACGCGCCCTATTTGTCGGTAGAGCCAGGAGTAGAGCACTATTACCTTGAAATCTGCACGGTACGCACCTTGTTGAAGCGGTATTGCGCTACATCCATGCTGATTTGATCTTGCTTTGTAGAAGGACCGCCTATATCTGATGCGGACACCAATACGTGAGGCATCAACGTGCGAGAGCTGGTCGATTGCTATAGAGGAGCAGCGCAAAGTGTTGCGCTCAGAAAAGGTGAATAAACGTGAGTGTTCTTCAAACTCTATTCCATTTCCAGAGGCACTGCCTAGTCCCACTCTACTTGCACGCAACCATGAGCTTTACTCCCATTTCGTAAGTTGGGCGTCTTACGGCTCCTTTGTGTATTTCACTAGAGTATAAAAACGTCCTCCTGTTTGCGAACGAACAGGAAGCATCCCCACCGCGAATGTCCATGATCTCGGTTGTTTATCTGAGCGAACGGGTCGGGCGAGCTGCTGAAAAAGTGATCAAGCGTCGGACGGAATGGGGTGAAAAAGTTGATCTCGGTGTGATTCCACAAGGCGGAGCATGCGTCATTTTACTTCAAAATGGAGGTATCGGTCGTATTGGTACACAAGCTCTTATGAGTAGCTGGGATTCGGGACGATTTTGCTGGATTGAAGTCACAGATGCCGAGTTCCCGACAGAAATTGAAGTTTCGGTGACGTGCAAAGTACTAACTCAGGAAGCCACTTTGAAGTCTCCCAAGAATCAAAGTGTACAAGAAGGTTTACCGAAATGGGTCGAATGGGTTGATGAAGGGTCTAGTATCGGCTTTCTTTTAATGTGTCTTTTCGTCCATCTGCTATATGGCGTTGATGGCTTTCACTGGTCGCATAAGTGCTGTCTCACAGTTGGTGCTGCACTGGCCATCTCGACTATCCTCAATGGGTCTTCTACATATAGGAAACCGCATACTCCAATCCCGATTGCTAGACACACGAGTCCGACCGATTTGCTACCGAAGTTGCAGTTTACGCTTACAGTTCATCGATGTCGGATTAAGATGGAGGGCTCAGAGTTCATTTATCCTCAAGCCAGCAACAAAGAGTAGGTATAGACTTCTTTACACGCGGACAGACCTTAAATTTCTATGAAGCAGTATCAAAATAAATTACCGTTACTTATCCTATCAGAGATCCGACAATGCGTGTCTTGTATTCATGCAAGGCAGCTAAGTGCCCGTTCCTCCTGTTGTGCTATCTAGCAGCGAGATCACAGCTTGGCGATCCGAGTCGGCATAGCCCAGCTCGATGAGACGCTGATTAAACTCCTGGAGCGTCAACGCGCCACACGAGAGGCTGCTCATACCAAGCATTACGTCCATAAGAATCTCTGGTCTCTTTATTTTGAGTAAAGCAGCTCGCTCAATGAGACCCATAGATGGGAATGACAGCTTCCACAATTCACGAAATTTTCGTTCAGCAACTTCAGGATCTTCTATCGAAAATGTTTTCATACTTGCTTCGACATTCCATGTCTCGTCCATTTGTACCGACTGCGTCTGAGTGGAATTTAAAGGACATGTGGAGGTTTCCATTTGTTGTGTTTCGACGACTCCGTCCGACGAGCTGCACTCAAGTATAATTTGATCACGCGGTGATTGCAAATCTTGTCTATGTTGGGGACGCGGTCGCTCTTGGTGATAACGCGCGCGATGATTACCGTTCATTAAACGCGAAGCTGACGCTGACCATTGCAGCTGCGGCTTTGTTCCACGTTGGCTGGATTCTTGAATGTTGCCTGCCTTACCCACCGACACAAAGACTTCGGCCTCGTCTGGCAGCCGCCCTATTTCCTCCATAGTGCGAATAGGTTCGCCGTCTTCCCGAGATATATCAACAATCTGATTCTCCTTGACACCAAAGCGGACCTTAAGCACATCCATGATGATCTGCGGCTCAGTTCCTTCGTAGTACGAAATGCACACAGTGCGTCCAAATGTTGACAAACTGTTGACATTCAGGTGCTTGCAACGTTGCATGCGAGGCTGTAAACTCTTGCGAGAACGCGGTAAATTAATCTGCCATAACCTACTTACACACACCTGGCACACGCGACGGGGTCGTTGCTCATCGATCGCACCAATACTAGCAGCACTCTTTTCGCGCTCGGGATTTGCCAGTCGTGTGTTCGTACACTTGCTGCAGAAAGCTTTGCGACAGTAACTGCACTTGTGCTTCCACTCCAAAAGCGAAAACATTTTACGGCAGTGCGAACAATTTTCCGTTTTGTTTGAATGCACCTGCAGCGGGACAGGTCGATCAGGAATTTGATTTTGCAACATCGTATCAACTTCATCAAGAGTGATACTGTTGCCTTTGTAGAGTCGAAATTCTTCTAACATAAGAGTCTTAACGAATCCTTGATTTGGATAGACGACACCGCGGCTAGCCATAGCAAAATTTACTGCAGTGACAAGTGACCAATAATTGGCGCGCATTAAATACATGATGACGAGTGTTGCGGAGCGCGAAATACCCTGTGTGCAATGAACCAAGACTCGACCGTGCTGAGTACGCTTCGCAGATTCAATAAATTTGAACGCGGTGTCAAAATAAGACCCAATGTCTGCCTCCGGTCGGTCCTTTATGGTGACGTTGAAATACTTGACACCATCGCTTTCGAACGTGTTGCCCACGTCCAGGCTAGCGTTTACAACGTGCGTAATTCCTAAATGAGACATTACCTGCTTGGACTGCGCATGCCACATATTTCCTAAGAAGAGAAATCCTTCGAGTATCTCGTTGGGGTAGTTAAGATTGTGAGTTCCGCTCTTGGTTCGCCTAAGTTTTCCTGAAATCTTGTCCAGTAGTGAAGAAGTTGTGTAAAATGGGTATCGGTATTTAAATGTAAGGAAACCGTCGTAAAGAAGCTTTACACTAGTCACGAGAGCGTCTTCGACAATCAGTCTCTCGAGCTTCTTTAGCCATTGAGCGCTCTTCGAGTCATCAGCTTCTTCTACTGTAATTTTCTTGACTGTGTCTCCAAAGAGCACGACATCGCGTAACTTTCTCTTTTTACTAGAGAATAAAAACCGTTGCTCGTCAAGCAGTCCATTTTCCACGTCTTCTAGCGACTGACAGTCTTGCATAGGAGGAATTGAGATGGCTGAAGGAATAGAGTCTTCCTCATACTCTTCTCTTGACCTTGTATCGATAAGAATGATACCACGCGACGCCTGTACTTGGTTGTACAACCAGCGGCAGTTTACCTCACCGCGACGTACAAGTCGCTTACGTTGTGGTGGCACGGGCTCGCTTTCTTCCACGATCGTGTCGTCATTCGTGATGTCCTCCCCCATATTCGTATTGCTAGCGCCGCTACTATTGCTCTCGCCGCCCATGGACATGTCTCCGTTAGGACGCTACTATATTAATAATGTCCTCTTGATTTGAGAAGTTGTCGAGATACAGGCGTTGCTGAACCTCCCGCTATTGCGCGTCACCGGATCGATGGACTCGGAACTGGTGCTTACCGGCTATGGTATGTGTTGGCTGCCTTCGTTATTGCTTCAGTAAGCGAATGCGTTGCTGGGGGACGTCGGCAAGTGGCAGAGATCCAGACTCTGCGGTCTGGTTCATAACTGCTGAAGACTACACAGTGCACACTTGGAGGCGTGGGCAGAGCCCGGCCAAGCCAGCGAGATAAGATGGGGTCTAGAATTCCTGACACAATCGATAATTGATCAAGTATCTGAATAGCTAAGATTCGTTTTATGTGTATATTACCATTGACCAGAACCTGTAAGAAACAATATGTATGCACCCGTCCAACAACTGCCAGGAAAAGCAGCTCTCACTCCGGCTCTATAAGCTCACTTATGGCCCTACATTGCGCAGGTGCTTTCGTCCTTCCTCTACGCCAATATTACGCGAAATGGCATTGCGCAGCGGCATGACAGCGTCGTCATTATCCATTACTTTTATCCGTTTGACAACGAACGTTTGCTTTGTTGCAACGGTGCGTTTGAGAATTGCACACGGAAAAGGCGAATTTTGCCAAGCTAATCAGCGCAATTCTCGCTTTGCTGCGCGGTAATCTTTTCCATAAAATGGCTTCGTTGGTCGACAATTCCACTCTTGGAAGCATCAGCCGCCGGATCGGAACGGGGTCAACGCTATACTTTAGAGGTACATACACATACATGCAAGCGTTACTGAAGCCGCCTTCAATAAAAACAGTTGTACTACTTGCATCAGTAGTTTCGTGTATGTCTCGCTCGTGAGAGTGAGACCCAAGCAATACCAGCGTTGAAAGGCAGCTACATGATGGAGCACTGACTATCCTTAAGCGATTCTAATGTTAGCCTTGATGTTGAAGTTACCTTTCGCTTGGCTGGTTGACTCGGGTAAAATCCGCTAGTTAGCTGATCAAGCTCGTCTTCTGCTACGCTGCACTTGTTGTGGAACAGCCGCCGCTCTTCTTGCAGCAAAACTCGCAAAAACCCTTGATTTGGGACCACTACGCCGCGCCCAGAATGAACAAAGTTGAACGCTTGAGCAAGCGACCAGTAGTATGCACGCATTATATACACGATAACTAGGGTTGACGAACGCGAGATCCCCTGCGTACAGTGTACTAAAACCCTGCAGGGTTTGCCATCCACAGTCGTCGAGCGCTGCGCTTGCGCTATAAATTCGCATGCTGCATCAAAGAATTTCGAAATCTTTGCATCAGGTTTGTCAGCGAGTCTGGCATTGAAATATTTGACGCCCTCATTCTCAAAGACGTTGTCCACCTTACGGGTTGCATTTACAACATGAGTGATCCCCAAGTGCTGAACAACTTGTTTGCACTGCGCTTGCCACATATTTCCGAGAAATAGAAAGCTGTCAACAATCTCGTTTGGATAGGACACCTGGTGCTTACCACTAAGCAGTACACCATCATCCACGATGCCTAAAGATGTGTAAAACGGGTAGCGTTTTTGGAACACTACAAAACCCTCACAAAGCACTCTGATGGTTGCTGCTCGTCCATCTTCAATAAGAAACTGCTCCAGCTTGTATAACCACGACTTGGGGCTACTAACGTCTTGGTTATTTGAAAATAGCAACAGATCGCGGAGCATGCGCTTAGAAGTTGAAAGCCCTAGATTTTCAATGTATTCATCATAGGTACAGTCGTTGTCGTGGTCCGGTGGCGGTATGTTAATAGCTCCAAGGACTGTGTTGGTTCGACTTTGTTCCCTCGACCGACAGTCGATGAGCAACTCACCCACATTGATATTGTTATATAACCAGCGGCTATCCACCAAACGCCGGCGCAACAAACGCTTTTTGCAGACCATAGAACTCACTTCCTTGGTGCAAGCCTCAATCGGCGCAACTTGTCCAAGTTGTGCCTCGCCCATGATTAGAGTCGATGATGTCCACGCGGCTGGTACAATTCAAAAGTGTGAAATCGTAGTGATAAGACGCTACGTACAATATGTAATGCTCATACCCCACGTCAGTGTAAAGGCATACAATGTTAGCACCTTATGTAGATGTCTTCCTTGCTTTGCATACTCACAACTTCCATACGGAATGATTTAGCCATTACCTGCATTACGTAATCCCCTGGTGAACCCAAATCCCGTTCAAGTCCATTTTTCCAGCAAAATCGTATTTTAAGATTCGGACGTACGGTCAGTGTCAACAAATGATTCGTATCACAATATGGACCGTACATGTATCTACATCCAGGTTTATTCAGCCACGCCACTGCGACAACTCCGGTATGATGTCAGCAAGCAAAATGAGACAGCAATTGTTCTCAGCAAGCGAATTGATTGCTGGACTGGATCTCCGAACAGGTTTACGCATACAAGCTAATACATTCGCTACAGACTGTAATTAGATTGACCAAGATATCATATTGTGTGGAGTGTAGCATGCGAAAAGCGGGTCCACGCAAGACCAAGAAACTGCCTCTCATTATATTTCGAAAGACCCACCGATCCACCGAAGCATGACTCCTTTTCGTCCTTCGGCCCATATTTTTCGAAGGCTCATGGTATCAACAATCGCGGTAATTTAACATCACAGAGATGCTTACCGATCGATGCAAGTTTTTTTAAGAACTTGCATTAAGCTGGCTACTGCGATCAGACTGGCTTTTAGGCCAGTCTCTCGCCGACTTGCGATCGAATTTCACCTGACCCGTCACATGCAGCAACCGTACATGACACGTACAACTTAACGACCAGCGAGAAGATAGGTAGAGAGAGCGCAACAGATGGTTAAGTGCAACAACACTCAAATTATGAAATAAAGAAAAAGAAAGTTCGTTTGCTGGAAATAATCCAAGGTTGTTTCTTTTGAATATGCACACTCCTACTCCTCAGATTTATACTCAAGACAAACAAGTCTATTAGCATGTTATCTAGAAGCAAATCGTCATACTCGCGTAGGTCCATGAACATCATCTTACGTAATCTAGGAAGATTTGAGAGAAATTACGAATCCCGACTTAAGAAACACGAGTGAATTTGATCAACATAGGAGAATCATGTGGTCTCACTGTTTGTGTGGATGGGGCATTACGTCTATAATTTTCCAAAATTGCCTTTACAATTTACATCCCGCTGGGCCTCACTATGCTGGACGCTGCCGTCAGGTTGACATCGCATGAAGTGCGAAAACGCTGCATGCCAAAACGTGGCGTTATCGTAAATGTGCTAAAAAGCTTACCCTAATTATTTTTTAAGGTAATATCTACCATTTATGCCTAATTTCCAATTTAATGCCAATTAAATTCTTCAATTGATTAATTTCCGTTAGGCCACATGCTATAACTTTACCCAAACGCATGGCTTAAACCCATCTACACGCATCAAATGCAAGATGGAATAACGCATAGTTGTTTTGGCATATGAGTGCTTGCAAGGCCATCCACGTCTTCCATGTTGGATCGAACGCTGTTAATATTGCATTGTTAGTAGAGTAGCTGTCTAGCACTCTACTTTTTTTTATGGTTCACGAAAGTAAATTCTTCATAAAGTCAATCATTTGTCGAATAAAAAAATAACACGTTTAACTATGTTCACGGTTATCCTGTGCTTCTCTAAACCAAGCTTCCACCCTCCGTTCTAAGTCATGCATCACAAAAGCACAAGTTATTCCAAAATAAAGATATTTTCACTTTGAATGAAAAAAGCACGATATAAAAGTGGAGGCTCGTCAGCATCTTCATTACCAAGATCCAACCAAAGACAACAAAGCGGCGGTAGGATTAACAAAATTGTTTAACACATCCTATTCTCAAATTAAGTTTTCCTGTATCATTACTCACAACAACTGCTCTCGCTGCGGCTCAATCGCCACCACCTCCATAGTTCCATCGTTAAAATCATCGTCTGGACGAAATTTAGTTTGGGTGATTCTTGCGTATCTTTTGTTGACAGTCGCATTCCTTCTTTGAAAATCATTAAGCATATTCTTGAACTCTTTGAAGCCTCGGTGAATGCATGGTAATTCATCATATTCGCAGAGCTCGTCAAATTCCTGAAGGAGGAACAGAGGGCACGCTCATTTTCCATTCTCCTTCGTGAATGCTAGTCACGCATTTGAGATAGCGCTGACAATTGATAGTGTAAGACCCGACTTGCGTCGACTGGAAGCTTTAAACCCTTCGTAAGTCCAACTTTATAGTTCTAAAGCATTTCTTGAGAACTGATACTGGGTGATGATGACCTAACAAATACATGTATATATTCGAAAAATGAAAAAATATCCTTGACCAGCACGAATAGATTGTGAACGACACACCATCTATTGGAGCTGGTCATATCAGCAACGATAACTTCTGAGAGGCCTTTAGCCCATTTTCATCGCAAGGGTATTTCTGTCAAAACGGTTGGAACTCCACAGCTAGTTCGATCAGATCAACTTACCACTTCACCGACAGAATGAAGCCTTCCTTGATAACAGCTGCTGTGGTACTCAATGGTACGTGCTTCATCTCCAGTCTACATATGGAGTGGCAAGTATAATGTATATCACTGGATCTTTCTTGATGTTTGTCCACCCGTTTGGACGTGATTGTAAACGACCCTGCCTGGATGGTCTTCAAGTTATAACCTATGCTTTGTTCAACCCTTACACATTATTCATCCAAGAAGGCACATAACGAGATGGCAGAATCATAAACGGGGCATATAGCTTTGTAAGGCTCCTACAATTCCTCAAATCAAAATATTGGCTGATGATAAGTCACAATCATAAACTGCTGCATTTCTTCAACCGAAGGATGCCAAATGTTTGGATACATCGAATGTTAAGGCCGTGATAGTTTTTCGGAATACTTTTTGATAAGTCATATCCCCTTCCATCGTGGACATTGACTAGCTTGCTGTCCATAGTGTCAATTCAAATTTTTAGTGATTTCTCCGTACTTCGAATATCACCAGAGCCAATTTCATCACAATCACGCGAAAATAAAGCTCCTTCACCGGCAATAGAGTTGTTACCTTCGACTGAGATTGCCGGTTGTTTCCGCAACAGAAAGAATGACAAAAGGAGCAAACTGTGATAAAGCTCTCCTCTGCATATTGCAAGCTTTTAAAGGTATATGATCATTCTTTCCGCTTGAAGACAACGCCACCAAGGTGCAACAGTTCTTTGAGAACAGGCAGACTCTGGTATGAGGTGTGTCCAAACCCAGCCTTTGGCACCAGTGGAGACCTAGGGCGATTAAGAAGCTCTTCAGAGGCTTTTCGCTGAGATGATTGAACGAATGATGATGACGAGAGCGATTCTAGACTTCCACCAGATCTCATAATCCCCTCCTCTTTGGCTCCCAAAGATCATTTACTTTCTTCTTTACATCCCTTGAGTTGGCAGTGACAGGAGGGCAGGGCAGGACACAATTATAATGCCAAATTCCACTGTGATTGCGTCAATTGTGGTTGATATTCTCATTCTGAGACACCGACATCAATAAGGATAGCTATCTGAGTAGCAAGACGAAGTAGCAGGCTCAGATAAACTCAGATACAAGCGGTAGATGCGTCGAGCTAGTGAGAGAACTTGGTCTAGTATAAGTATACCATGAAAGCAATGCAAAACTCTTACAATCATACGGTCTGTTTGAGTTCAGGAATACTCCCACTACGGTAGCGTCAAGTGATAAAATTGTATAGATGATTCGTCACCGTACGAGTCCTAATGGTTGGATGGTTTATTAGCGTGATTAATGTATTTCCTTTACACTGAAGGTAAAAAACGTGATTTCCTGTAAGAATCGACCGACCGTGATATATTAACGTGGCGGTTCAATCCACTGAGCTGCTGTATACACTGTACTAAGGTCAGATGACTTTAATTCTGACTGAGACTACTGTACAAAGACGTTTTAATGTACAACTTCAAGAGGATAGTGACAGTGTGAAGCAATGTCGTGCTGACTGAATTAAATCGTGTGTGCTGTGCACTTAGAAGCCCCGAGATTGTGGCCACAGCCCTATAAACCACAATTATTTGTTCACATATGGCTCGCTACGATATGAATTTACTGCTGCACCTATTCGTTGTTTGCGCATATCGCAATCTGCATTAGTAATCGGCAAACAGTGTAGACGTTCCAAAGCCGTAATTAAGTAAGACATGAAACGTATATCAAGCGTCAAATGGTCTACAAAGATGCACGCTTCGAGAATTGCCGCCATTCAGCATCTCGAAAGCTTTATGTTTATTTAGTATCAAGATACTTCGTTAAATGGTTCAAATAACGCACAATGGCAGTATTAGAAATCAGGTCCTTAGCTGATATGATTCGAAAAAGGGCGTTCATGGAATCGCGGACTGCAAGCTGTATTTCAGAAAATACACAGCTTTGTTGTAAGAACAAATGAACGTTTATATTTAACATCAGATTGAGATCACTTCTCCTATATGCACCCTTAAATTGCAGTCGCAGAGCATACTCGACACCTAACTGCGGTAAAAGCGGTAAGTCCCGATCATGGTAGGTGCCAACCTATGAGCATTTCTTGACGCGGACTTTTAAAGTCAAAGCTTAATCTATTTAAAGTGCTTGGCAATTTCGTTGCACTTGGATACACTTGTACACGACTCGGTCATGACATTGAGCACGACTGAGTCGTGAGAGGATTGCATTTTCTATGGCGATGTAGTGCCTGTGTCTGTGACGGGGCACACGGCACCTTGCACAGAGGAAGCTTGACTTCCAAGAGTAT